CACTCCCATAGTTGCGATAACAATGTGCACTTTGGAAATTCGCCTCTGGAAAAACATTGATAGGAGATTTTATGAAGAAAATTTATTGTCCTCTATAACGGAACAAAAATTCACTCTGCGCAGCGTTTAGAAAATTATAATCGTAATCTTTATTTTAAAAAAAAATTTTAAATGTATAAATTATGCAATCATCTCAGCTCACGACAAGACAAAGAAAGAAGATTTTTGTGACCAAATCTGAAATCAACAATTTTCCTGTAAACGAAATAAGTTTGTGAAATCTCTTAAATGATCATTCATCATATTACAGATTTAAAGTGTATATAAAGTGGGAGATTTATCTACTTGATAGGGGCAGAAGGAATGAAGAATACAATCTGATGTAATATAAGATTTTTATGTCTATAAATTTTTATTGTTTGATTATTAGAATTTCTACATATAATAAAAGAAAGAGTCTGTCTGTGTGTGTGTGTGTGCCTTTCGTTCGTGCTGTGCGTAAGCTAATAGACCCATGGCTACGAAATTTGGTACATAGGTGCATCTAGACAAGAGCCAGTGCACCTCGAAGCGATTTTTTTCGACATTCGAATTAGAATTTTTTTATTTTATGTTTTGTGACGAAATCGCGTCATTCTGAGACATAATGGGCTATAGAAAAGCAAGATTTTACACTACACACTCCATTTTCACATCATCATGAAACATAGGCACCTAGCTATTTTACGAACTTAAAATAAATTTCATGTTTCAATAAATCGATTAAATACGAATTTATTTAACAAAGGGAGCATAACCACATCTACAAAGACATAATAAAGACGTCTTTGCAACGGTTGCAAAACGGTGGATGTTCACGGACATCTGGGTGTCTTAAAGAAGACATATTGCAAAGTTTTTACAACGACATCCACAACGAGTTTGCAACATCGTTACGATGTTGCTGTGCAACTTGGGCATGTAATAAGATATTAGAAAAATACAAGGAATACATTAATAATAATGCACATTCTGTATTATGTTGTCTTTTGTACAGTACGCAGAAAAGATTAATGATTTTAAAGTGCATGAAATGTACAATCGAATAAATAGTGTTGCTGTGCAACTTGGGTATGTAATAACATATTAGAAAAATACAAGGAATACATTAAAATTAATAATAATGCTCATTCTATATTATGTTGTCTTTTGTACAGTATGCAGAAAAGGTTAATAATTTTAAAGTATATGAAATGTATGATCGAAAAAAATAGTGTTAAGGAAACATTTACATTATTATGAAATATTTTAATCTATAATCATGTGATATTTAATAGTGTAATATTAAAAAAACACTAAATATTTTTTATTGATTGCAAATTGCAGTTTTATTACGTTTCGTTTAATATCTATTCTTCCAAACACTGTGTAATTTGCATTTTTTTTTTAATATTGCCGTTATGTATGTTTATTAGATTATCTCAATAAATGAATGTTGGAAATTAGGTTTTATTTTTTATTAAATTTAACTATATTCTATTTTCTTCTCTTACTTTTTGTGCTTGTGATAACAAAGAAATTCATAATAAATAGAAAAAAAAAAGTTTCATCGTGTGCTATTTAACGAAGATCTTAATTAGGTTACTATCGTATACTATATTATTTAAATTATTTCTATACAGTAACAAAAGGGAAAGTTATGGACTATATAAAGTACATGAAATAATCATTGTAATCTACCACTATTCTAAAATGTAGAAACTAAAAATAAGTATATACATTAATATATGATCGAAAGAAATAGTGTTAAAAACATCAGCGTTATTAGTAAATACTGCAATTTATAATTATTGCACTTTTAATTGCTTACTATTTAAAAAGCACGAATAATTTTTTATTAATTGGAAATTTTAGTTCTGTTACCTTCCTTCTGCTTATTTATATTTTCAAACACTGCTAGTTCATGTTTTTCTTAAATAGTGCTGTCATGTATGTTGTTTGTTAGGTTATTATTTCATTTTAGATATGAATATGGGAAGTTTTTTTTTTTTTTTTTTTTAGATTTAGATCTATTTTTGTATGAAATACCTTTGATCACATTTCTTAACTACTTTATACAGTACTTTGTTTGAATATCTTGGAAATATAGAAGTTAATGGTTATTTTTTTTTTTACTATAAAATGCGAATAAATCTATACTTGAGTTCAGGTAAAATACTGATTATGCTACCTTAAGAACCGCTTCCTAATTTATCATGATGGGGGCAATTTTCAATGTCTCTGAGATTTAACAGAAATAAATGCGATAATGCTGTTATAATCAGAAATGCTCCTTTTTTTACCCACATATATGTCTTTACTTTTATTTATGTCTGATTGAGTTTTATTTACTTAAAACCTACTATTAATGTTATATATTTATAATAATCACTTTCATAATTATTCTCACTTACATACTAAAGGATTAAGGGGGAAAAATGATGAAATCTTAAATAATCTTGACTTGGAATTTTAAGTTATTTAAAAAATATAGTGAAAATAATTAAAGCTATTATTAATTATGCATATTTATTCTAAAGACAAAAAATTGTTTTAAAAAAGTTTTCAGGAAAATGCATTAATTAGTAAGTTTAAACTTAAGAAAAATCTGCAAAGAATACAAATATTTTGCAAAACTAGAACAATACATTAAGCTTATTTTTCTGCATAATCAATATGTAACACAACGACATAATAACGACGTTTTCACAATTGTTGCAAAAAGGTCAAATTCTGTGAACATTTAGGCGTCATTAAGACGTTGTGATATGATGCTTTCACAACTAATATATAACCTAATAAAGACGCAATAACGACGTCTGTGCGACAAAAACCTCATCTGCAAGGACGTAAAAGACGTTTTTAGCAATGGTTGCAAAACAGTGGAGTTCCGCAGATATTTGGACGTCTTAAAGACGACATATTGAAATAATGAGATCCGCGACGAGGTTGCATCATCACTACGACGTTGCCGTGCTACTTGGGGACTTTTTAGTCTCACACCACATCGATATTGCCAAGCTCACCGAAACGTATGCTACGCCGAACACGAGTTTAAAAATACCAAATTTTAGGAGTTACAGATGCGACTGGTTAAGTCATAGGGGTGAGAGACTATTTATGTTATGAACACCCTCCAGTCTTGTTTCATTAATGACTAACGAAGCAACGGGCAAGAGCTCGTCACTGTTTCTCTTCTCTTACCATATTATGAAGTTTTTTATTTCACTTCATTCTACAATCCTCGGCACCCGTTAGAGGATAACATATTGCAATATTTTTGCAATGAGATCCGCGACGAGGTTGCATCATCGCTATGACGTTGCCGTGCTACTTGGGATATTCAAAATTTTATGTTTTTTTGAGTAATTTTATTTTGTAATTTTCTTACAATTTTAAACTGAGAACATCTTGAGTAGGGAAAAAAAGCTTTAATTTATCAAAGTAATTTTTAACACACTAAAAATAAAATTCATATAGTACATACTACTGTGGATAAACTTAGCCATATATACCATATATAGATTAACATAAAAATAAACACAAATATTTATAAAATTTTTTGTTGAATCTTCATATAAAGTTCTATAAATGTTTATAGTAGATTAAGATAATTCAGATCAGATAAAATTTTAATAAGAAAAATTATGCTGAAGTTCACTAGGGGTGGGGGAACTTAAACCATGCAAATTTTAATTTCATTTAAACAATTTAATTTTATTGCTGAAAACAATTCAATTAGTAAAGGTAAAATTTAAGGGTAGAGTAGACATTAAGGTACCCCTTGTATTATGGCGAAGCTGTTGTTTCATTTATCGTAGCCTGAGTAGTTGAATGTTATGGAAACCCTATTGTGACGTAATCGGGTGCATGATTCTGGAGAAATTTTGAATCATGGGATGTTTTGTAAGCGCTTTTCTTGTGTGTGTTGATTTTGATTCTTTAGACAGTAGAATGGCCTGAATGTAGTAAGATTAATTTGAAGTTTCTGTACGATTTCATGGAGTGAAAGGGGAAAATGAGCTTTAATTTAACTGGTGTGTAAATGAAGGTTTACTTAGTAGCCATTATAAGTGTCCTGTATGTAGGAAGGAATATGTGCATCTAGTCGAACGTAAAAAACCATTTAGATGGATTTGCAGGAAGAAAGGTTCAGATGGTCACGCCAATGTGAAGCGTTCGATCAGAAAGAGTAACCTGGTTTGAAAAAAAGTTCATTTGAGTATGTTGATATTTTGAATTTTTACGTGTGCTCTGGGTAAAGTACGAAGCGAATTCGAAAATCATGGTAAGTAATTATTTGCTTTTGGTAGTGCTTAAATGTATAACATGTTTTTCCTTTTTATGTTATTTTATTGTTTGGTTTAAAATGCACATTTTATTGAGATTATGTATTTTTTGTTTGCCTATATTGTAGAATTTGGTGCTTTTTGACTGTTTAAGTGAAAATATATCGTTGTGTACATGGACAAAGTAAAGAAAGTGCACAATGAAAGTTTGTGCAATTCTGGGATTTTTTTTAAGTGAAAATAGGTCGACGTGTACATGGATAAAGTTAAAAGAGTGCATAATGCCATTTTTGTGCAATTCGGAGATTTTTTTTTAAAGTAAAAATAGGTTGACTTGTACATGGATAAAGTCGAAATGCCATTTTTGTGCAATTCGAAGATTTTTTTTTGAAGTGAAAATAAGTCAATGTGTACATGGATACCGAGTTTGTGCAATTGTTTGTCTTATTATTTTTGCGCCAAAAACCGCCACTTCACAAGCCAAAATAACAAGTCAAAGAATTGCACTAAATCGGTATCCATGTACCGCCAAAAATTGCCAAGGAGTACCCTAAACTATACTTTTACCAAAATTAAAAATCGGGAGTTTCATGATGTACCAACAAACCAAGAGATATGTCCCGAAATTGGAAGAGTTGACAGCTGTGGTAATAAAAGAAAATATTTAGAAGAAAAGTTGTATTATACAATTACCTGGAAAAAAGCCTCATAAATCTGGACAATTTTTTCTTTAAATGGTCTCCTTGATCCTTCACTTTTTGCCATTTCCCCACTACAACAATACAACACATTAAACAAATATAATATATAAGTAATGAAACAAGCCACATACTGAGTTTTTATTATTAGAATCAATGCATAATTAGTCTTAGACAGTTAGGAAAACAGATAAAGAGAATATTGCGCTATCCAAAAAATTATGTGGTTTGAAGATGATAAATTATGTGGTTTGGGGATGATAAATTCAAATGAAGCAAAGCTAAAGCTTGGGAAAGTTTCATTGAATCACATAAGCACCATTTTATTCTGCCTTTCTGAAACCTCTCATGTGGATGGAAAATTCCTTTTTTAAAAAAGTGGGTACTCTTCTATTATCGGGACCAAACTCCAAAATGTATATATGTATGAATGTGTGTTTGTGCATATACATCTGTGTGTATACATAAACATGTACCTGCAGTGAATGCACACAACCATACAAACATGCTTACATAGTTACATTTCTTAATCTTGTCCCAATAACAGAAGAGTACCAAAAATCATTAGGTTATTATTAAAGTTATCAACAGATTCTCCAAAAGAAAACCCAGTCAGAAAAATTTACTGATAAAATGAAACCCAAAGGCGTCCTTTATATCGGGAGGAATCCAAAATGTAGATGAGGCGTGTTTTGTGGTAACATCTATCGGTTGATCTTTACAATATGGTAACTGGTAGTTTGGCGACATTTTGGAGGCGATAAAGGTTACTACCTGGGACTTTGGTAATAATGTGAGCAGTACTCAGTTCCGATTACGCATTATTTTGTGTGAGGGAAATGAGAGATCATGGGATATGTCATGTGATATTAATGGACGAATTACGGTTCTTTAATCGGAAAAGGGGGGAAATCGGGAAAAAATCTGGAAATTTTGTATTTGGCTTTATTCTGTGTTGTGTGAAACAGTGTTCGTGAATTTTTGGATCCCATGGCCGTAACTAAAGAAAAGTTTATCGGACACGTAATCAAGATTCTGAAGAAGATTAGGTAAGTTAGTATTTTTAATTATTTGAGGATATTATTTTTATGCATTGTTCTAAATGTAAGGTGGAAAGGAATTTGGTATTATTGGGAAAATTGTTATTAGCAATGATTTAGTTTAAAGTAATTAGGATTGTAAGGTAATTTTTATTAATTTAATGTATGTGCTCATTTATATTTTAAGTAGTGTTTTTGAATTTAATTATATTTTAATGAAATGATAGTTATTTTGTGAATTTTATGTTTGTAGGAATTTGGTATACGTTTAAGTTGAAGTAAACGTGCATGGAAATAATTTAAATATTTGACACTAAGTATTTGTAATGTTTGCTTGCGGTATGAATTCGTTGGTGACGTGTATAATGTAATAGATGATTTAGAGGTAAAAGTTTTTGGATATTTTATTTATTTTATATGTGGAAATGTTCATATTTGGAAAGGGTAAATACTTTTTCGCGATCAGGTAATTTCATATATGTTCTTTTTACCGGGTTTAAAGATTGAGAAAATTGTCATGTATTTTCGTGAAATTTTTCTAATTTATGAGAAAAAAGCAGTGTACATGGATATAGTGAAGAGTGTGCGCAATGCCATTTTTGTGCAATTCTGGGATGTTTTTTTAAGTAAAAATAAGTCGGCGTGTACATGGTTTATGTGTATGTGTTATTTTGAAAAACGCGTAAGGAGTATGGTATTGTGCACTTTTTCCCAATTTTGCAGTGAATATTTGTCATGATTAAGCAGTTTTGTTTGATAAAATTTCTAGCATAAGTGTAATTCGGCTAGTAGATTGTTGGAAGAAGTGTTCAGTAGATAAAAAGAAAAGAAACATGTCTTTACTTCGTGAAGACAAAATGGCGGCGGGGAAAAAAATAGAGGGTTGCTGTAGGAGAGTTGGTCGCCAAATTTTCGCCAAAAAACGCCAAGTTACCATAATGTAAAGATCAACCATATATACATATATGTCTAATGAATATGAGAGTGACAAAAAAAAATAACTCGGCCATATTCAATGTGTTTTTGTCTGACATTCATTAAAATCTGGTTTCGAGCAATGTCATGATGGAAGACCCTCGAAGACTGATCTGCTTTAGGCCCTTTCCTTTAGTAACTGCTTTTAAAACTGTCACTGAAGAACAGTACTGTTCTGAATTTGTCTTATTTGGTCTATTCATAATATTCCTTTCAATACTCTTTGTAGTACACAAACCATTACTTTTTTGGGGATGTAGACACCCTTTCGATTTTACTACAAAGAGGTCATTTTAAAATTACCCCATCTTTTTTATGTAGCACTTCTCATATCCAATAATGAGCCATTTTTAAAAGATGGAGCTCTTTTATTTTAAAGGATTGGTTGGAAAAACTCAAACAAGCATATTCTGCTCTTAAAGCATGAAGCACCAACACGTGGTAGCAACTTACATACCCATAGTCTTCTTCAAATAATCATGTACCATACATTTTGGAATATTTATTCTGTTTGATAGTTCCTGAATCATACAACGTGGATTTTTAGTGATAGCTGCAGATCCTTTTTTACAAAGGATGGTTGTCCAGAGTCGGCATCAACTTTGAGGCTGAAATTTCCATGTTTAAACTCTTCAAACCACCTTCACACTGTTTTATCATAAACAGTACTTTTCCCACATATAAGGCAAATTTTATGAGCAGTCTGACTAACATTTGAATTTTGGAGTTCTCTATTCTTAAAGCTGCACTGAAACAAAAATGATGCCACAACGCATGGTAGAATCATGCAACATCAACAGAAATGATCATATTTAAACATCTGCTTCAATTAAGATCACTTTGTATCAGCAGTAAAAAAATAATTAAAAAAACATGCTTTGATTTGAAAAACCATAGAGCTTTTGAAATGACTCAATAAAAGTTTCTTTATACAAAATTATTCCCAAAAGCAGACTATAAACAGAACTGTCTATTTACATTCTCCCATTGCTAAATGTTTTTAACTACTTTATTTTGCATTTTAGAATAATTTTCCGCTAAAATTACTTTTCTGACTACAAACACCCAAACAAGCAGCAGAAGTGTTTACGAATAAAAAATTACTGAGAATAAACACAAGACACTTGGTAAGTAAAAAATATGGTTCAAGTCAGATTTGATGTTAAACGGCAATGAGATAAAAGCTATCGACAGTCACTGCTTTCTGAAATCTTATACATAAAACTATTCAAGATTTCACATTTTGCATTATAGAGAGTACTCATCTAACAGAAACAATGTAATAATGGTTATATTTCCTTTTATCACTTATATAATTCAATGGTATTATCATAGACTTAACTCTTAAAACAAACTCTCACTTGTTGCATACATCAATACAGTAAATTCAGGAGGCTCATTTTTCTAAATTTGTGTTTTTAACTGACAAAAAAAAATTTTTTTTTTTAATCATAAACTTTGAAATTTAATGACCTTCAGCTTCAGAGGCACAATTTGTACTTTTAAATCTACGAAAAGCAGTTTCATCTGTACGAGTCGAAGTCTTTCTTTAGAAAACTTAATCTTACCTAAAATTTTAAAGCATAAAACACTTCTCTTTGTTGATAAAAATAAGCCACAATATTTAAATCCCAGAATTACACTGATTTAATAGTTTTATTAGATTAAAAAATCTAACAAAAGGAAACAAGTGTTTAGAACTACAGTATATGCAAAGGCTACTCTTTCAAGTTGAAATGTAATATATTTACTGCCTCAAAATATACATACTGATAAAATAAAGTATTTTTTAAGTAAAATTTCTTTAGTTTACTACTACTCTAAACATATGAATTCAGAAAATTTTTGCAGAATTCATTACCATTTTTAACAACATTATATTTAAATCAATCGATTTCAAACTCTGGTTATTACCATTTCAAGTTTTATCAGAACGGGATTTATGCTTCAAAAAGTTTTGCGATTTGGATGTCAGTTTTAACAAATATATATATATATATATATATTTAGAGGCACATAAATTAATTATAACTCTAAAAAGTACCTGGAATTTTAAAATAATGAATCAAAATATTAAAATTTTCTACATTAGTTTTCAAAACATTAAAATATACTCCATTATTTAATTTTATAAATGCTTACAGTTGTTATTTATCACGATAAGGTTGATAACATTTGGAGATATCGAGTTTTTTAGTTGAAGCACTGATTACATAGTTAGTTACCCTTCCCAACAAAACGTTTGCGAATTTTATAACTATAAACAGAGTTCGACCCGGCACGCACGATTCAACGTAGTTTCGGGAAGAAAAATACTCATTTCATTTTACATACAACAAAATATTAAGTAAATTTTAGAAGACAAATATAATGACCCACCAAATTATTAATATGCTAAATGAACATATACATTTATTTTAGAAATGATTTTAAGTTAGCAGATGACACTTCACAGTTTGCGTAAACAAAATTAAACAATCCGCTGCCATACAATGTTGAAAAGTTTGTTTTCCAATGAGGAAAAAAAGTAAAGTGTCTAAGCATCCGACTGCTAACATCCGATGGGTAGTCAGACAGGTAGACAAAGTAGACAGATGTCTTGTTTTGCACCCGCTACGTCTTTTTGCCGCTTGGACGAAAAATCAAGCTTAGGTGCGAATTCATTAATTTAGACCTTTCACCAGAAACTCACCTTATTCGTGAACTGATAGCGTCCACTTGACATTTACTTTCGTCTCATTTTGTCCATACTACTTACTCATTTTGGTTTACCAATTGTCTTCACCAGATGCAGAGTAAAACGACGCACTGCTTTCTGAAACTCTAATTTTCTATATGTTCGTAGTAAATAAAGGTATATAGAAAGAGGGGCAATTTTCGTGTTTCAGTAGAAAAGTACTTCGTACATTTTATACGAGTTCAAAAGGCCAGGAAAAGATGGGAGAAAATGAAATGGAAAATAAAATGGAAGAAAAATTAATAAAATGGAAGAAAAGATGGGACAAAATAAAATTTAAATAAATGGCCCAAACATAATAGAGGGAAAAAGAAGGCCCTGTAGAAAGAAAAGGAAAAGAAGTAGAAAATTTGCTAAAATACGATTGTGTCCATGCGTGTAGTCAAAAGAGGAGGAGGTTGTGTTTGTTTACAATAAATAGTGTCTCCCAAATGTGTATAGTGAGTGTGTTTGACAAAGCTGACTAGATATGATGATGGGAGGGGGAATTAAAAAATATCTCGGATCCAGTTACATATAACAATTTAAGTTTAGTTTATAAGTCAAAAACAAAAATCAGCGTTGTATGTTCAAATTTTTACAGGACTAGTTTCGATGCTTTTAGCGAACCATAATCCTCAGCTGCAAAAGCGCAAATGAACGAGATGAAATATAGTGATGAGATAAGATAAGATAAGAAAGACTGGACATGAGTTAAGCTACTGGCGCCATCTGTTGATGAAATGAGAACTAAAGTATAATTTTCTTAAAGGCTGAATGCAAAGATGGATTGGGATTAGGGTCGTTAACTAGAACCGAAAGAATTTTTGAATGTGAAATGCCTCTAGAAAATTATGCTTATTACATGTTTTAGCTCTCGTTTCATCAACAGATGGCGCCAGTAACTTAACTCCTGTCTTGTCTTTCTTATCTTAATTTATCTAATCACTGTATCTTACCTCGTTCATTTACGCTTTTGAAGCTGAGAGTGATGGTTCTGTAAAACCATCCAAATTAGTCCTGTGAAAATTTCAAAATATAACGCTGATTTTTGTTGTTTGACTCTAAATTAATACTTTTTCGGCGTGTTACTGTATCTTAGTTTAAGTCTACTTAAGAAGCTAACTTTAGCTAAGAAAGGAAAGTAAAAATAAATGTAGTTAATCATTAAAAAAAAAAAGCAAGTCCTAGCATGGAAAGCACGGTAATATGTTTGCTTTCCCCTTGAGACACAACAAAAAGAGACATAACACCAGACAAAAGTATATATCATTTTTTTAACTAAAGTAACATTAATTATTACTGTTCCCAGCATATTCATACATTTATCAGAAAACAGCATCAGACAAAATCAAAAATCCATACACAGTGCGAGAGCACATCGGCAAAAATAGATAAATAAATAAATTACACAGTTTCTTTTATTATTAATTAATTTTTATATTAATTAAACATAATATTTATTTATTAAATTAACAGCCATAATTTATTATGTTAGTGCTTGTTTAACAAACTGAGGCACACTGTATTTATATTAGCTCGTATTTCTAAAAGATACATTCAAGGTAATATAGAATTATCCACATATCTTACTTGCGAACTGAAAAAAAGTCGAAGATGAAAGAAGCAAATCGCGCGATCTAGTTAAACAGGTCGCTGTCCAAGATCTCCATTTTCCCTCTCAAGGAATTACTCAAAACATGTAAGAGGAAGGGGTGCGCAAAAGGGAAAGTGCTGATTGACGAGAACTGATAAGGGAGGTAGCCGTCAGTTCACAGAAGTTACGAGAAAGGAACCATATAATTATACTATAGTTTAATGTTGAAAACTTTTAAAACTAAAAAATGAATGAATTTAAAGACACTTTAGTAATAGAGATTTGATTTAGTTTCGAGAAAAGAAGGACACTTATCTGAATCTTCCGTATCAAGCTTTGTCTTGGTAAACCTACAGTTTGGGAAACCTTCATTTTCATGAACGCGACAAACCTTCAGTTTCATGGACGAGACACTGTAGAGGAAAAGCTCGAAAAACTTATTTAGGGGGATGAGGATTTACTGAAACACACATTTAAAAATTTCGGAGCTCTGCTGAAATGCTGCCTCTATCGTTCGTGATCGCAGCGCCCATCACCTTTATATTCAAACAATTTCCGGTGGGTAGCGTGAGCGGGATCAATTTAACGCTTGTTAAATTACAGTTACCATACCCAGGGGGATATGAGTTCAGCCTATTAATTAAAATCTTACTGATACAATTTACACAGCCAGAAGATGCCGCTCAATATCAGTCAACTAAAAGGAAGTTTATTTAATATGTTGCAACTATTGATACCTAACTCTTATAATATAATCATATTATACTCATAAAAATGCATAAAAATTATAGCAATAAGTTTCAGTCTTTAATCAAATTTCGGTCACTTGTGCTGTACTACAAACGCTACAGAGTAACTTCATTTACACAACTCATGAATACTATTTCTTTATTCGTGGAATTTGCTTTAAAATGGACAGTTGGTTTAATAAGCACCAATAGCGTTACGTGACTGAGTTACATTTCCCTATCATTAATCATTTTACTGACCCCCATACAAAGACGTCTCTTCGCTTTAAATCTCTGCATCTCTGCATCATCTACCGACGGAGACTATTTTTGACGACCAATGTTTTACCCCAACAAATTAAAAGTTTTGTGTTTATTCATTAATCACTCTGGTTTTTTTTTTTTTTCTTTCATCTGTGCTAATGTTCTCCTTTTCGTTATGGTTTGTGATAATTTTCTAGCCTTTGTTTTTATGATAGACAATGGAATCAATATGGAAAATTTGTAGGATACTCATGTGAAATGAGTAATATGCAGAAACATTTAAGACAAAAAAAATTAAAAGGGAAAACGAAATGTGCTAGTACTTGCATTTTATATACGGTGTTGCGCATTAAAATCAAAAATTGCTCGTTTCACAGAATGTTCGACTTCATGCTTTAGCACTGAAAATTACGTAGAGCATTTACTTTCTCATCACCAAATAGTATTTACACATGGAAAAAGCTTTCTTAAATTCTCTTTCTTAGGCTTTTCTCTACATGAGATATGTTGCTTTTTTCTTAAGATCAGGTGATTTAAATTTAGTGGCCGATTTAACACAGCCGATCATCATGGCTGCCATCAGACTGGCATTGTATAGTGTTCAGAGATGAGTCCCGCTTCACTCTTGAAGCAGACGATCACCGTGTTCGTGTCTGGAGAGGACGGAGCCAGCGGTCCCAATCAGCCTTTGTTTTACAAAGGCATACAGCCATAACCCCTGGTACGATGGTGTGTGGCGCTATTTCTTATGACAGCGGGTCATCTTTAGTCGTCTTCCGTACATCGTTAACAGCTCAACGATATGCTGATACCGGTTGTATTACACTTCATGGCACGTCATCCTAGGGCCATTTAAAAATATGCATTTTACATATTTATAAGGTATTTTCTCTTTCCTTCCTGGTGTAACGGCCTTCGTGGTGTAAAGGCAGCACACTCGGCACTTATTCGAGAGTTCCAGGGTCGAGTCCAGGCGAGAATAATGCTCTTTTTTTTTCTGTCTCCTGCTTCAAAAAGTAATCTAATGACTCTACATACTTATCAAAGATTTTGACTTGCCACTGCGCATAAGATAAAAGACTACTCGTATATTTAAACGACTTTATTCCCCGACTTTAATTTAATTTCTTTTAGCATCTATTATTTGTTTTACAGACAGAATTTTTTTCTACTTTCTGAAAATAGAAAAAATTCTTCTATCTATAAAAGCCCCACAAACTGAACCAGTTGAAAAACTAGCAAAGTGTCGAGCGTTTGGGGAGGGGAGTGAATAAAACAAGTCTGTTTTGTTTACCTTTATGATCCCAACTCTTCTCAGCAGTTTATTTTTTCTTTTCTTTAATTTCTAAGTATTTGATTTCTTTCATTAAGGCATTTTACTTGTTCTAGAAAATGACCTTAGTACAAACTAATTTTGTTTTGTATACCATTAACATTCGAATATTCTGATGCAATGAAAACTGTCTGGGCTTTCTCTAATTTTTTAGGCCCACCAGCGGCCGAGCGGTAAAGTCGCTGAACACTGGTAGTTCGGTCCGAGGTTCGAATCCCGCGAACGGGCTGGCTGCATGGGTGTTTTCGTGGTTTTCCCCATGTGTAACGTGTATACGAGCCAGTTTCGCTTAGAAAGTCCTCCACGAAGGCATCCCTCCTCTTAGGCAGATAGCCCTCGAGGCTTTGCCATAATCACACACACACACACACTCTAATTTTTTATAATTAAATTGACCATTTTCATCTTTTCTTTACAAAAGTGTTTATATATTGACCATTTTCATCTTTCCTTCACAAAAGTGTTTTCTTACACACACACACACACACACATATATATAGATAATAGATTATATATATATATAATATATATATATTATATATGTTAAATATATATATATATACATATACAGGGTGTCCCAAAACGACCGCATAAACTGAGCACAGCTAGATTCCTCGTTGAGAGTACCTAAAAACTGTCCAAAGAAGCGCTCCTGTACGATCCATAGTTTACGAGAAAAATACGAAAAACAAAGTATGACATCACTTCCGGCGTAAGAACAAAACACTTTATTGGACATATCAACAACAGTATTGGCGTATCTTTTCAGACGATAATGGTTTAAAATGTTCGCAGCACATATCGCGTCATGCATGCGCGCACGCCGTGGAATGACGTTAAGCCGCCGTTGAACTGGTATTTAAAATGCTGCAGCTACCGGTAGTCTTCGTATGGTGGCCATGTATTCC